GATTTCCTTGCTTTTTACTTAATGGGTTTTTCTAGTTCAGGATCCCATCCAGATGTACCACATCAATTTACTTGTCATGTCTCTGTAGGCTCCTTTTGGCTATAACAGTTTCTTAGACATTTCCTATTTTTTAATAGAGGCCCAGTGCATGAAATTCATGCTCGGGGTAGGGATGTCCCTTAGCCCAGCCTGCAACCTCTCCAATCTGGGACCCCTCAAAAGATGTCCGACTGCCCGTTTAGGCCTGATCCCACTGCTGGCTCCCAATTGCTCACCTGCCTGCCTTCCTGATTGCCCCTAACTGCTTCTGCCTGCCAGTCTGATCACCCCCTAACCACTCCCCTGCCAGTCTGATTTATGCCTATCTGCTCCCCTGCCAGCCTGTTTGCCCCTAACTGCCCTCCCCTGTAGGCCTGGGTCCCTCCCAACTGCCCTTCCCTGCAGGCCTGGCAACCCCCAACTTCTTTCCTCTACCAGTCTGGTCATCTCAAGCTGCCCTCCCCTGCTGTCCATCTTGTGGCAGCCATCTTGTGTGTTGGAGTGATGGTTAATTTGCATATTACTCTCTTATTAGATAGGATTGTTTCTTTTCTTTTCTTTTCTTTTTTTTTTTTTTAGCACTTCCTTACTTTCTATCACTATAAGGTATACTAGATTCATCTTATATATTTTCCACTCTAGTCCCAGCATGAGCCATTTCTACAGGACTCTTTTTTTTTTTTTAATTGGAGAACTAGAGGCCTAGTACATGGATCCGTGTGTCAGTAGGGTCCCTCAGACTGGCCTGCACCCTCTTAAAATCTGGGTCTCCTTGGAAGATGTCAGACTGCTGGTTTTGACCTGATCCCCACAGGCTGCTGGTAGCCTCTGGCACCCAATGGTCAACTGAGTGGCGCAGAGCTCCCACTATGGAAGCACTCTGAGCACCAGGGGCAGCTCCTGCATTGAGAGACTGTTCCCTGATGGTCAGTATGCGTCATAACAACTAGCCAGTCACCTGGCCAGTTAGGCTTCTGCATTTCTAGTAAGCACTCATCTTATGCTGATGCAACTGGTGCATGGACCACACTTTCAGTCCAAAGTCATAGGGTATGTGCATTGTTAATTTTATCATGTATGCCAAACTGCATTTCAAAGTGATTGTACCAATTACACTTTCACCAGCAGGTCACATGAGTACTTATTTCTCTTACATTCTCTCTAATATTAAAAAATTATCTAATATGATAATTTAATTTAATTTGTCAATCTATTAAGGTGTCTATTATGGTATCTGTATTTAAAAAATCTATTTCCTGGTTTTTAACAAGTTTAAGCAGCTATTCATATATTTATATATTCTCTTTAGTTAATTGCTTGCTCATATTCTTGCCCTATTTTTCCTTTTGGGAATTTTTGCCCCTCTGTTTTATTTGTTTATATGACATTTTTATACATTTTGGATATCAATCCTTGGTTAACTGTCTTACAAATATTTCCCTCCAGGTCTAAAGAACAAATTCCCACTTGGTAGAGCTGAACTCAGGAGCTGCCCTCTAGTGGTCAGTGTGCTCTCACAGGGGGAGTGCTGCTCAGCCAGAAGCCAGGCTGAAGGCTGGCGAGCACAGCGTTGGTGGTGGGAGACTCTCAGTGCTAAGAATGTCTGATTGCCGGCTTAGGCCCCCTCCACATGGGGAGCGGGCCTAAGCTATCAGTTGGGCATCCCCTGACAGCTCCTAGACTGAGAGAGGGTGCAGGTTGGGCTGAAGGGCCCCTCCAAGTGCATGAATTTCGTGCACCTGGCCTCTAGTTGTTTATAAGAAAGATTACATGGGGGCTAACTCTTTGCTGGACTGTGACTATAAAACCTTTGTGGGTCAATTTTTGTGCTCCCTTCCAATGTATTTGTTTATAACCAAGGGGTCAGGAGTCTTAAGTTTGAGGGTACTGGGGGCAACAGTCCCTAAAACCCAGCTTTCCATTTTTACCATCCTATCAGCCTATGCAGATCCCTGTACCACTGATGGTGAAGACAGACATGAATAGAAAACCACTGTGCTGGAGCCCAGTTAGGCAAGCTGAGTTCCTTGCTTCAGTGCAGCTTCAGTTCCTGTTAGCTTACATTAGAGAGAGAGCACTGATATTGGTTGGGGAGAAACCAAGTATTGCTAAAGAGGAGGATAGGGTTCATGGATTTGAGCTCTGGCCTGGAAGGGGAGGAACCATATTCTGGAAGGAAACTCACCTGATCGTGAGCACCCATTATGTGTCCTGAACCAATTAAAGCCCTTTCTGGTGCCTTCTCTCATTTAATCCTCACAACTAATCCCTTCAGCAAGTCTTGTTTACAATTGACACATGGAGAAATTGAGCCCTGGTGACTTTGAAACCTGTCCAAGCTCAAGTAACAAGTAGGCAGTGGACCTGGGATTAGAGTCCTGGAGTCTGGCTGCACCTCTGGTGGATAATCTCTAAATGGGTCACCTGGACCCTGTGCCCTTTCAGAGTGGAGAGCCTGCTCTGCATTCTTCTTTGTTGCATCCATCCCTCCACCGTTACACATTAGAGGATCAGCCAGACAAAAATGTAAGGTCACACAATCCACGTTGCTTTTTCCTTGAACCTTATTTTTAAACTTGGCGCCTCCTCCCGAACCCCCACCTCCATCAAGAATGTGAAAATGAGTACCGCTCTTCTCTGTCTAGTCCTGTGGTGGTTTGAGGGATGCTGGGGGAGCTGGACTTCCAGGGCTTCTCCTGGGAGTGTGCAGAACAGAAAGGAGAACTAGGCCTTTCTCATTAGTGGTACTCAAGGCCATTGCCTGTACAGCCAGCCAGCTAGAGGAAAGACCAGACCCTTTATTTTGTGAGCTGGTTATACTTCCAGAGGAGAAGAAAGGGAGAGGCAAGTTTTTATTCCCTCATAGGTAGAGATTTCTATACCTTGTTCCCCATCTCTCCTCTCCCCCAAATAGCATGTGTTCTTTCCTCTCAAATCTATGGACACATACTATCCTTTTCTTCTCTCCCCAGCTCACACCTATGGTTCTCCCTTCTAACCATGGGTAAAGAGAAACCTTCTGGGATCCCTAGTTGGTGTCTGCTTTCACAGCATCTTTTAGGGGTTTAGCACTGGTCGAAGGGCCCCTGGCTGATGGCCATAAAGTGCCCCTTCTGTGATTTTGTGCTTTCCCTCTTTTGTGGAACCAGTGCTTTGAATCCAGAAGACATCACTTGAGGGAGCCACAAGGTGGGCATGCAGCAGGCTGCCTCCCTGAGTCTTCAGGCCAGGGACATGCATGCTACAGATTGAGAAGAGGAAAGAAATATGTGTTTTCAAAAGTCTTTGTCTAAAGGAATTCTATTCAGGTGCGGAGAAGACATGAGTTCCTCAGAAAGGGGTAATATGAATATCTGGTTAATAACAAACAAAATAATGTCAACCATTGGAGTCCAGCCGTGCGCCTTTGCTGCCGGTCACAGGCCTCCCTAACACCAATCACAAGAAGCATGCGTGGGGGCTGTGCAGTTCATAGAGAGCTTATCTGTCCCCTCCTTCTCCAGGGATGATTCTGTGCGGGTGTCCCTAGGTACTGAGATGAGCCTGTTCCCCCATGGAGACAACTGGTAATACAGGACACCACGTGGTCCTGGGAGTGCACAGACGTTTAAAAAAATCTAGGTCAAGGCAAAAAACATCATATATATATATATATATTTTTTTTTTTACTGTTTTTTTTTACAGAGAGGAAGGGAGAGAGATAGAGCTAGAAATATCGATGAGAGAGAAACATAGACCAGCTGCCTCCCGCACACCCCCTACTGGGGATGTGCCGCAACCTATGTACATGCCCTTGTTGGGATCGAACCTGGGACCCTTAGGTCCGCAGACCGAAGCTCTATCCACTGAGCCAAACCGGTTTCGGCAGGGCAAAAATTTTTGAGGGGGTTTGGTGGTGGTGGTTCAAAATCTTGTGCTCCGTTGACAATTGCCAAGCTTGGAGACATCCAGGAGGTCAGCGGACAGGGTAGAGGTCAAAGTGAAGTCAAGGAAGTAGTGGGCGTGTACAGGGCCTGACCCAGGGCAAAACAGGGCAAGCGATCCCACGCATGCTTTCTTGGCCTCTCGGCGTCTTTGGCAACAGAAAAACAGTCCAGGAATTGACTGGTGGGGCCAGCGCGAGGAGCCCCAAGGCAAGGGCCAGGGAGGGACTCTGAGCTTCGGGAACCCGCAAAGACTGGAAGTTCTCTAGAGCATGAGCAAGAGGTGGAATTTACCTAGAGGTGGAATCTGCCAGACTGAGGAAGGGCTGGGACTGGCAGTGTGTCCTGTCCAGCAGCTTTGGGTCTGGGGACCAGCCAGGTGAGGGTGGTTGCTCACCCTCACGCCTGGGGGGCAGAAGCCAGGCGCTACTGGCAGGTGGGGCCCTGGGGCTGGACTCCGCCCCTCCCGCGCCCTCAGCCTCGGTCCCGCCGCCCAGCAACCAGCCCCGCCGCTCCGGAGCCGGAGCGCGATTGGTGGCGGCGCTTGTCGCTCGGAGGGGGCCGGGCGCTCCGCTCCGCGGCTCTGGAAGCCGCCGCCGCTGCCTTCCCTCCAGCAGAGCGGGCCAGGGGGACCGCCAAGGCAGCAGGAGGCAGCCGGGCGCTGGCGATGGGAAGCTGCAGGGCCGCGCACCCGGGCGGTGGCAAAGTTTCCCAGGCGCGCGTCTTGGGGCTCGCAGCCGCTGGCCGCCAGTGACCACTCGGAGAAGGGTTCGGAGATTTTTAATTTGGGGAAAAAATCCACCTCAGTTCCTTTGTCAGGCTCTCTCTCTCCGGGCGGCCGACGGCGGGAGCGCCAAACTTGGGCACCGCGGCTCCCCAACCAGCAGACAGACAGACAGAGCTTTGCAGAATCTCGGGACTCAGGTGCTCGGACGCCCCGCTGCCCGGGGCGGGCCAGGGGGTGTGAGCGCGGGGCAGTCCGGGGCGCGCACGGCGAGGAGGGGGCCCGGGAGCTCTCTATGGAGGAGGGAGCCCAGCATGGTGTGCACCAGGAAGACCAAAACTTTGGTGTCCACTTGCGTGATCCTGAGCGGCATGACCAACATCATCTGCCTGCTCTACGTGGGCTGGGTCACCAACTACATCGCCAGCGTGTATGTGCGGGGGCAGGAGCCGGCGCCCGACAAGAAGCTGGAGGAAGACAAAGGGGACACCCTGAAGATTATTGAGCGGCTGGACCACCTGGAGAATGTCATCAAGCAGCACATCCAAGGTACGGGAGCCCCGGGAGCCCCCGGGAAACTTGGGCCGCCCGCCCGTGAGGCCCATGAGTGCCCCGCGCAGCGCGGGGTGCGTGGGTTGCTGGCTCGCAGCGAAGGAGCAACCGCGGGGCCGAGGCTGCAGATTCCCGGGGGGCTGCGTGTACACACTCTCGCCCGAGTGCGGGACCCTCGTGTCTGCGGCGGCCGTGCGCGCGTCTCCAGGACACACGTGTGTGCTGCTCGCCGGCAGGGTGGGGGCGCGCTGCACACGTGTCCACATGTGCGCAGGGCTCTCGGGATCCCATAGAGGTCCGACTTCAGTGTGTGTACGTGTGCATGATTGTGTGACCAAGGGAGTTCCTTTGGCTACTGGAAGGGGCCATGGTGAGGTGCATTTAGAACCCACAAGCTGCAGGACCAGCGGAAGCTGGGAAGGTTGCATAGCCCCAGCCCCAGCTCCAGCCCCAGCCCCAGCCCCGCGGTGCACGGTCTGTAGGGGAAACGCAGGGAGATCCGTGGTTGGGGTGCTGCTTGTCCTCATCACCACCACCACCACTACCACCACAGTCGTTGGCTCCAAGGACCCTCTCCAGGAGCAGGTGTGGACCGGGGAAGGTCGGCGCCTGGAGCTCTGTGTATTGCGGTGGCGCCTCCTCTTAGGATCCGGAGAGCCCGCCCTGCCCTGGGCTGCGCCTTCCTCACGGAGCCGCTGGCAGCTGGGTGAAGGCCCTTCCCCTGGGTAGCTCCACTCCTGGGCCCAGGGAGTGGCTGGGTGGAGCAGACAGAGCCGCCTGGGTGGGTCTGGAATCTAAAGCAGTGCTGGGAGGTTTCACTCCAGGCCTGGGCTCCTGCCTGGGCTCCTTCACTCCTGCCCAGCTCCCCACCCTCCAAGGGGAGGGTGGGGAGCTGGGCAGGCTCTCCATCCAAGTGCCCTGGTCCAGCGAGTTGTCAGAGGCAGGGAGTGTAGAGCGCCAGGCACCCGTCTGCACGCAGGCTGTGCACACACAGGCAGGTCTCTCACGTTCCGTTCACACTTAATCTTTTTCTCGCCACTCACACCCCTTGCTTTCTGCCAGGCCTGTGAGCTGCGGAAGGGCAGGCTCAGCTGAGCCTAGTTCATCTGTAAATCTGGCAGGCCCACCTGGCTTTGGTTCCAGCATCCCGTGCACCCCGCAGAAGCACTCTCTTTTGTTTACATGGGAGCGTCTAGATCCAACTCTTGCACCTGCTGCTCCTGCCGGGGTGGAGACAGCGGCTCTGTCCACTTTTGGGTGTTTCCTCACTGCCTCCAGAGTCCAGAATAGTTCCTTCCCCAGGGACGTCCAGGTGTGTGCAGGCGAGGTGTGCGTTAGCCACGGGTGCTTCCTGAGGAAGACCTCAAAGCAGGTTCTTGGCGCTGACACTTCCCCAGAAAAGGAGACAGTTGGCCGCTTCTCCTTCACACCTGCCTCTGCCTCTCAACCTGGCACTGGGCTCGGCAGGCAGACCCATTTATCTTCCGGATGGTGCCTGTTGCTGCTCCTTTTGACTTGTCCTCTCCCCTCCCCCCTACCCCCCATTTGGATTGACAATTCATCAGCAACGGAAGTACAATGTTTGCCCCAGGGTGACTCAGAATGTTCCCAGGGAGACACGGCCATTCCTTACTTTGACATTTTCAGTTTGCCCACAGATTTTGAGAGATTTTTAATTCACAGATTCTTTCTCTATATATATATAGAGAGAAAATGATTCTCTTATGTTTCCCAGTCTGGTCAGAGAGGAGGTGAGCAAAATACTACTTTGAGGAGCAGTGAGGAGACACTCTTAACCTATGAGCTCATCATGAAGTGGGGCCCCTGCCATTCGGAATGTGGAAATGTGGACCATGTCACATGGTTTATAAGGTTCTGCATGAAAATGAGTGCAATGTTGAAGTTGAAAGGAGCCTTTGTGATTTTTTTTTTTCCTCCCAGGAAACCTTATAACTATGCATTGTTTGGGAACTTTCCATTTTATACCTGAAAACACTAAGAAGGATGGAAAAAGAAGAGGGAGCAGGATCCTTAAAACCTGTGTTAGTATAGTTCTGTTGAATGTGTGCGTTGCCTGTGTTATGACTCCTGTGGATATTCAGAAATGACCAGGTTCTCAGGACAGAAAGCCACAACCCAGAGCGGGTGGGGAGGGATTGGTGACAGGGGAAGGCTGGACAGGAGGCAGATGGAGGGCAGAGGTCACATGGACGGTTGTGTCAATGACAAGTGACAGCTTCCTGTGGTGCTGGAGCCATTCCTGAGCTGGGGTTTAGGGAATTTAAAAGGAAATGTAGGGATTTACCATATTTAGGGATTTACCTACAAAATTTGGGACTGGCCGAGTGCAGTGCTCTGAAGGCAGAGTATGGGAAAGGACAGGATTAGACTCTTGTACTTGATGAAATGGGCCTTTATGTACATTCCGCCATCAGGTCTCTTGTAGTCTGTGGAGACTTTTGAGCAATCCAGTTTACTCTGCTGAGCTGAGTAAATAAAGGATAATAATCGTAAAAGCTAAAAATTACCCAGCATCTATTACATGCCAGACACTACTCGAAGGGCTTTACGTATATTTACTAATTTAATCCTCACACCCCTTTGAGGTAGGTAATATTAACTCCGTTTTACAGAAGGGGAGGTTATATGGCTTGTGTAGGGTCAAGGACAAAGCCTTGGCCTTATCTCAGATGTTCCAGGAACAACACTGGGAGGCAACTTGGATACAGAAGTGAATCAAGACACTTCTGGTACCTGTCACAGCAGACTTGTTTTCAAAGGACAATAGAATTCCTCGTATTAAACAGAGTCAGGGTTTGTTAGTTAGTTAATGGAACAGTTGCTTAAAGAGGGGAATAAAATATTACCTACATGCATGAAACATTTTATTTTACTATTATTCACTGATGTGTAGCAGTACAGGGATTTAAAGCCAGCTAATGTGACTTCAGAGTCTGTGTTCTTAACTACATACTCTATAGTCTCCTGAGAGGGCCAGTGGATCAAAGCGGGAACAGTGCTCCTCTGGATGGGGGATTTGATATCAAAGCGAGATACCTCAGAGGGTGGCCCTGTGATGGCCTCATAGCCTTCCAACGTGGAGACTTCCTAAATAAACTCAGGGAGCTTTGGGTTTTGTTTTGTTTCGTGCGGAGAGGGAGAAGTTACATTCACTTAAAAAGTGTTTGAGGAACAGCCAGGACATTTCCTGGCATTCACAGCGAGCAGGTATTGGATGGATGCGTGGATGAATGAATGAGTACACAGTGCGGTCACCCAGTGCGCTGCTTAGTCATTAATGAAACATTTCCATTCGCAAATGAATATGTTTTGCTCTGGAGCCTTGCTTAGGCTCCTCTTTGCTTTGGAAGAAAAGTTGTCCCGGAAGCTGCAAATGTCACAGAATGTTCTGCAGGATGTTCCATAGGACTTGCAATTAGAAGAGACTTTGGAGCATCACCCTAGAGGTCTGTTCTAGTCATGACTGAAGAGTTTATTTTCCTCTTGAGGGTAGCAGTGATATTTCATTTTAATTTGTTTTCTGATTGAATGATTTAATTAGATGGCATTTGGGAATCTCTTGGGGATGTAAATTGCAATCTTGAGAATTTTTTGTTGTTGAGCCAAATAGATGGCAGACGAAAGGGTGGATAACTCCAGATTAAAAAAAAAAAATAGCATCTTGATGGGTTGGGAATACAAAATAACTGTTAGCTGTTAGAACAGATCTGGTCTAAAGAGGAGAAAGATCAGATTGCTTGATGTGGAGAAAGTAGAGGAGTGCTGAAGTAGGTCTAAGTGTTGAAGAGCTTAGGGAATATTAACGTTAATTCACCTCTTAATTTGGAAGTCCAAAAGAGACAACAACAGCATTTCCCTTTTCTTGATTGGTATTTTTTTGAGTCTGAAAAAGAATGTGCCGATATGAAAGAAAATATTAAAAAATGTATGAAAGTGCCTCTAATTTATTCACCCTACCCTCAGACAGCCATTTTGTTTTGTGAGCATTCCCTTCCAGCTTGCCCTTCTGTCTCCATCTGTCTCTGAAAGCAAAGGTGTAGTCATGGTTTACATGTAATTTCCTATTTTGCTTTTTTTTTTTTTTTTTCAATTTGTTTTTTGTTAGAAGCATTTTTTTTTTTTCATGTTTGCTATATGGTTTATTGATTCAGTCTTTCTCTACTGGAGACTTAAATGTGCCAGGAATGACACTGGGGAGGTAAGTTTGGATACAGAAGTGAATCGAGACACTTCTGGTCCTTGTCATAGCAGACTTGTTTTTAAAGGACAATAGAATTTCTCATATTAAACAGAGTCAGGGTTTGTTAGTTCGTTAATAGAACAATTGGTGAAAGAGGAGAATAAAACAAGATATTATCTACATGTATTAAATATTTTAAGTTACTAATCTTCAAAAGGTACATACATTTACCAGCCTTCGGATGTAAGGCCGAGTGAGGCCTTATCTTCGGCCAGCGTGTGCTTTCTGATCCTCTTCTTTGCATAAATCACACCCATAATGTGCTGTTTACAGAGTCTGAATTTTTATTGTTTTTCTTAAAATTCATTGAGAGCTTAAAGATGCTTATAAAGCAATCTCAGTGTAGGAGCTTACATTTTTATGATTCTGAGTGATCTTTTGCAAGTCATTTTGCACACAAGTAATTTGACTGCTATGTAAGTGACTAGCTTTATACAGTCTTTCCAAAGCATTTAAATTAATTTTCTTAGAAATAACAACTCTCATCTTTTTAGTAGTCGTATTCCATAGGTTCATATCGCATGTAATTAAATTACATTGTTATACATTTGGGAACAGATCCGTTGGGCTGTTGGTAAGCATACGACTCAATTGCTAGCAGGAGATTAGCGTGGGGGCAGGAGAAAAAGCTGTCACAGAGGGACAAAGGCTTCCTGCAGTTTGTTTCTTAGAGGGAATGAAAGCATGTTGAATCTGGAGAGATGATTCAGTGCAGGGTTTTTAAAGAGAACTTTTA